AGACAGGAAAGACTCCAAGGATTTCAAAGAAAGAAAGTCATCAGAGCACCACCACAGGCATCACAAGAGAGGCAAGTCCAAGAGCCGCTCTACAGAAAAGAAGAAGCACAAGGACGGGGATGAGCCGGAGCGAGAGTGTGCAGTGATGTAAAGACACCGCCGACGACAGATCAAAACAGACCAAAGACGAGCGACAGTCAGAGAGAAAGACAGAGTTATGAGTTTACCAGCGCGTTGATGTATTTGGGGTTAGATTCGACGAGAGCTTGTCTCGGCCCTGGAATAGCGAGGAGTTTGGTGGACCGAGATAGACTTGGGAAGCAGCAGAGAAGAGGTACATATTCTGCAGGGCGGATGGCTCTGCGAGAGACGTCGCAGCGCCTGCGGATGATGATCAGCACGAGAAAGGGCGTTTTCCGGAGTTTTGTGTTGTTTCCTTTTGGGACGATGAAAAGGAAGAAAAACGGAATACCACGGAATTGGAGGCAATGAGGGAGGGGGTCGATGAGGTGGTTATCCATCCCCCTCTCTACACACCACAGATAGCTTGGGATAAAATAATACTGTTGATGACTGGGTCGTCATTCATCAAGATTCAGCTACCTGACCTAGTTTTCCCAGTTTTGTTCCCAAGTGTTGACGCGTTTGAGTTAACCGAATAACCGAATACCATGTTTCCTGCTTCCCTTCCATTGACTGGAGGGGAAAACGACGTCCTGAACATAGGACGCAAAACAAAAGTTCATCGTGGGCAAAGTTATCCCACGGTACGAGCAAAAAATGATGGGGGTTTCCCATCCGCGATAGCAAACTTCCAATCCGTCGTCCTCTCTCTCTCAGCCTAATGTCCTTCCTTCCACGTTCGCTCAGGTCCACCGAACGAGAAAGGCAGGGAGATATATATGCCTCCCAACATCCTGTTTCGAGCAAAGTAATAATCAGTGGACCAATCGAGCTTCCAAAAAAAAAAAAAGTTGACAAAAAAAGACCCCAGTATGAAAGACAAATTTAGTCCTCGTCATTCTGGCGATCAGCGACCATCTCAGCAGCAGTATTGATGACCTTCTCGGGAGGACGCTCAACGACGACGTTGGGCTCCGCGGGAGACGAGATACCAGGCATGGGCGAGAGGTTGCCGCTGGCGACACCGCTTCCACCGCCAGGGACGGGGATGCTGATGTCCTCGGGGGAGCCGGGGGTGATCTTGGGGTCGACGCCGGGGATGTGGACGCGCTTGGCCTCGTTCTGGTAGGCGGCGGGGATGATCTCAATGATCTCGTCGCGGGGGAACTTGAGGATGGGGATGTCCATAGTGGCGCAGTGCATCAGGTAGGCGTAGAGGACGCGAAGAACAGACTCGTGCGCAATGATGAGAAGATCGCTCTGCTCACGCTCAAGCTCCAGAATGATGGGCTCAAGGCGGACGGCGAGGTCGTGGTAGGACTGTATAATATTAGTGCTGCTCATGGGCAAATAGTGATTGTGAGCTTTGTTTACTCACCTCAGCGCGGGGGTATCTATGATGATACGGGTCGAGCTCGTGCTTCTCGACCTCCTCAGGGTAGAGGTGGCGAATGGCACGCTCCGACATCTTCTCGCAGACACCGGGGTTGATCTGGCTCATCTGAGAACGCTGACGAACCTTGAAGCCCTTGTTCTTGAGGTAATCCGCAGTCTGAACGGTACGGCAACGAGTAGAGGTCCAAACAGACAGAGGACGAAGGGGAACGGCATTGCCACCCTTCTCGACAAGGGCAGCGCGCTCCTGCTCGCGGTGCTTCAGAAGCGTCTCGGACATTCGAGCAGCGTACGCCATGCCCTCCTCGGAGAGAGGCGCATCAGCCTTGTACGAGTCCTCCTCGGTGGTAACGCCAGCTCGAACAAAGTAGGTAGTGCGCGACTTGATGTGAAGGTTGGTCAAGTAGAAGACAATGCGGTGAGACAGGTAGCCGAAGGAGACATTGTTGTAGAAGAACTTCTGTCCCGCGTTGATCATCTTGATGTAGTTGAGCTCCTTCTCATTCATGGTATCGAAGACGGGAATCTTCATGTCGATGCGGCGCAAGTACAACTTGGCAGCCTCATCAGGGTCCATGCCCGCGAACTGCACACGTTAGCACCGCGTCACTATCGAATTTGGGCGAGCACTCACGTCAGGGGAGGAGATCTTGACATTGCGTGCATTCTCACGCAAGATGGCCTCATCGTCGACGAATGACTCGATGAACAGCGTCTATAAAAGGTTAGGGATTTGAGTCATCAGGTGGCCGAACCAAAACTCACCTGGACATCGTGCTTAGCGAGTTCCTTAGCCAGGGCACGGCGACCAGCCGCGGTGGGGTTGACAGCATCGTAGATAGCGACCTGTCCATTCTCATGGTTCAACCAAGCGTAGATGTCCTCACGGCACTTCTTAAGGATCTTCTGACGAAGAATAACCGACTGAGGAGAGGCGTCAGGGAAGAAGTAATCCTCGGGAACGATACCGCCCTTTCCAACGGTGGCACGACGGTAATCACCGAGGTGAAAGATGCGGGTCTTGACTCCCAACCTGAAGGTACGTCAGTCAAGGCGCTTCAAGCGAGCATTTTCGACTCACCAGCCCAAGTAACGCGCCAGGGAAACGCAGATGTGACTGAAGAATGTTAGCTCTCGTTTTTCCAAGCCGGTGAAGTAGGAAGAACTTACGTCTTGCCGCGAGCCGGAAGGCCCACCATGACGATGGCGATGCGACCAGAGTGAAACAGACGGCCGGACATTGTGCTATAAAGCTGAGCCGGCGCCATGTCCTGATCCTCGGGGACATCATGAATGCCGTCGATGAAGGTCGAGCTCTTGCGACGGTATCTAGGCGCGTTGGCCGCGATCTCGGCGGTACTGTCATGAGGAGTCACGTCAATACCAAGATCTCCAAGTTCCGGTCGAGGGCGGTAGAAGATCCTCTGGAACTCAAAGATGTCGAGCATCTCAGCCCAGTCCATGGCAGCCCTCTCCTTCTCCATGGCTGATCAGGTGGTGAGAGAGAGAGAGAGAGTATCAGAGGTAGTGATAGATACTTCGATAGGAAAGTTGATAGGCAGGGAACAGAAGAAGAATAAGGCAGATAGCTCGGATCAGAGAGTGAGTATGAGCAGTAGTGATGATGGATATTGTAATGGGTAAGTTGACAGAGAAGAGGAGAAAAAGAGGAAGCTCAGTGTAGAAAGAAGAGAAGAGAGGAAAGCAGGAGAAGTAAACAGCAGCTTGAGGGGCGTGGAAAGAGGAGGTAAAGGGCACTCGCCATGTTTGTAGTTCTGATGATGTCGTGCGTCCTAATTAGGTATTCACAGATGGGCACACCCGCCTCGTTTGTAAGTAGGTAAGATATCATAGCCACCAGCCGTCGACAGTCGAAAGTCGTGTATAGTCAGCCGTGCTAAGATCTGTGGGCAACAGTCCGGGCCGGCATGGGTTGTTTGGATGTGGTTGAGGTTGTTGGGGACATCGCAGCCCGTGACAGAGTTGTGACTCCGAAGGTGATGGACTCTGTGTCTGGGGGTTTGTTTGTGTCCTCGTGCTCCAGTATGTCGAATTGGCCCAAAGACTCCTTTCAACTCTTCCCAGTAGTCATTCTTATATAGACTGGGCAAACAAGCATATGAGGATAGGCCTTTGCCTTCGCAATCTTTGTCTCATAAAGCGTTGAAGGTTCCTCTCACTTGAAAGTTGAACCTGTCATTGCGAAGATAGAGGAACTTGTATATCAGAAGGTTGGATCAGGGGCAGGCCATTATCAACCAGAGGGCTTAGGCGAAATGAATTGCGATCCAGGTTTGGCCAGCATAGCTGGCATGCGAGCTGATGATCCGGTTGACCGGATTTCCTGGCGCCCTAGAAGCCACTCGTGTTTCTGACAGAATTCGAACCGCAATCACGCAGTGTCCAGAAGCACTCGCCTCAGTCACAGGGGGAGAATGATGGATGGAATATGAATCGGCGGGGTTATGAAGACCCCTCCTTTTACAATAGGCAGATATCTAAGAAGAAAGGAACTCACAGTAATGTGTCCATTTTGACGGTTGGAGCTGAGTCTTCCTTGGAACCTCCAAACAACCACGGAGTCAAGGATGATGCTCCGTCGTCTGAGCTGGGAGCGGGCTGCGCTTGAGGCAACTGCGGCCTCTGGACCGGACGGAGGGGCCGCTGCGGAAGGAAAGAGCGGAGACACGGTGACGCACTGTCTACTCTCGAGGTTCGAATGTGTTAAGTTGAGAAAAGTAGCCGTCGTTTACAGTTCTTGCGAAGCTTTCACTAGTTGTATCTTGCTCTCTATCAAGCGCAACAAGTTTTGGTTGCAGCAGGTAAAATCGCGCAGGTGAGTTGCTTCAAAGGGTTTGGTGAGCTAGGTATTCGAGGTCGAAGTGGCACTGGTGTCTGAGCTGTCCCGTTCCGATTTAAGCCGCCAGTTTGTGTATGGCCCGCGGCTCTTACAAGGAGACTCTACGAAGGCCTGTGCTGCCAAAGCTCAACCAAAGAAGTGCTTCGATAGTGGTGTAAAGGATGTTGAAATCCGCAAAGACTCAGGAATCGTGACTTTAGAGATCTGAAGCCGAGGGTATCTGAGATGTGAGTCGAGGTAGGTCGTCGCCTAGTAGTAAGTCGCTTGGGTAGTGTGGTAGTCCAGGGAGCACAAAGACTAACACTGTGAGAAAAGAAGGTGTTGGGCTCAGCGATGGAGAGGGCCAAGGGAACGTACCGGATGCGGGCAAGGGTCTGTCGTCCATCCTGGGACTAGCCCGGGGAGACGACCCGACAAGTCAGACCCGGTTAAGCTTCGGACCGACAGGGCCTGCTGGCCTGACGTAAGTCGCTGCCAGAAAGCTGGTTGTCATCACGTGATTCCATACTGAGGTATTCTGTCATTGACCGGGAGCTGGAGCTCCAAAAGAAAGATCCACCGCGACTTGGACCACTCGTGGCTGCCAGCTGTTCCCATTGGATTTAGCGTGGCATTGTGGCTCGTGCTCTCCCAGCACCTTTGCCTGTAATCAGCGAAGAAATTTATTCAGACTTTCCAATCATCACCAACCCGACTCCGACTCCACGATCCTCTCCCCCCAAACGCCCCTGCCTGCCCATTGCGCGAGCATCAACCGATCCCCAGGGCAGTCGCAGCTGTATTATCTCGAACAGATCCATATCACCTGGTCTCTTGTTGTTCTCTTTCCGACTCTTTTTTCTTTTCTTGCCCTTTCTCTAACCGGTTCTGCACGACTCAGGCCGGCGCCGACCATCGCAGCAATGGCGTCCAGCTTGGAACAAATCCAGAATGTTCTCCTGAACAACCCCGTCGCCAACTCCCTCTCAGATGCCATCAGCTCCTTCTCGGAACGGAGGGCGAAGCTCGGCTTGTCCAATCCCGGTACCACCGAGAACCTGACTAGGGAGGTCCAGCGCGATGTCTTGCTCACGAACTACATGTTCACCGGCCTTCGCGCCGATCTGACCAAGGCCTTCAGCATGTCGCCTCTGTTCCAGGTTTCCCACCAATTCGCTATGGGCGAGCGTTTGAACCCGTACACCTTTGCTGCGTTGTACGGAACAAGCAAGGTCCGTCGACAATTACGCTGCGAAGTAAAGCGCGATGAATCTGGCTAACTGACTTTCCAGGTCTTCTTGCAAGGAAACATGGACAACGACGGCCAGCTCTCCACCCGATTCAACTACCGATGGTCCGATAAGCTTGTGTCGAGAACCCAATTCCAGGCCGCCCCTGGCGCTGGACAGGAGATGCTTCAGTTCGAGAACGAATACACCGGCGACGACTTCACGGCTTCTCTTAAGATGCTCAACCCTTCCTGCCTGGATGGCGGTGTCACCGGTATCTTCATTGGTAGCTACCTCCAGTCGGTCACTCCCAAGCTTGCCCTCGGTCTCGAGACCGTCTGGCAGCGCCAGGCCATGACCCAGGGTCCCGAGACTGCCACCTCATACTGCGCCCGTTACAAGTCCAACGACTGGGTTGCAACCGCTCAGCTCCAGGCTCAGGGTGCTTTGAACACCTCCTACTGGAGACGTTTGTCCGAGAAGGTTCAGGCTGGTGTTGACCTGTCTCTCTCGCTCGTCCCCGGTGCCGCTGGCGTCATGGGTGGTTTCCAGAAGGAGGGTGTCACCACTATTGGTGCCAAGTACGACTTTAGAATGTCTACCTTCCGCGCCCAGGTCGACTCCAAGGGCAAGCTTAGCTGCCTGTTGGAGAAGCGCATTGCCGCCCCCGTCATGATGACTCTGGCTGCTGATGTTGACCACTTTTCTGTAAGTTCAACATGGCGGAATTAGAGTTGTTCGCATGCTAACAAATTCTCTAGCAACAAGCAAAGATCGGTGTCGGTATCTCCATCGAGGCCGGTGGTGAGGAGCTCCAGGAGCAGCAGGAGACTCTGGGTGCTCAGGGAACTCCCAACATCCCCTTCTAAACCTGAAAACAAACACGAGGATGGCTTGGTGCATAGCCAAGTCAGAACCGAAGCTCCGCTCCTAATCGAACCCAATAATTGATGTTTTTCCCCGGCGAGGACAAGAAACGACGACGACGAACTTGATTTTCTTTCGCAAGTTCTCATTCTTATACTGCTGTCTTAGTACAAACGACTTCACGCCTCGACAGCACGGACCCGACAAACCAGAGTATCGGATACTCCCAAATGCCCCCTCTGGAGGTCTTCTACCTTTGGTCCGCCCGTCACACTCATGTTCGTTGAACCTCGACTTCTCTACTCGGCCGGATAGAAAGACCTGTGTATATTACGCTCAGCCCGAGCACAAGATTCAGGGCCAATATGGTGGTGTATTGGTCGGCTTGGATGCATTTTTGGGAGGCTTGGAACGGCATACCCGAAGCGGAGTGGCTGATGCCACAACCCACGAGAGCATCTACTTGAGGCTGCGCATTATGAATGGCCTCCGTGATGAACAACTCTCGTATGTACTGTGTATGAAGGAGATAGAATTCAATGCTGATACAACATCACTTGCCATATACTTGGGTGCGCTGTGAATGTGGTGGAAGCACAAAGTCCTGGGATCGCATTACGTTGAGCATTTTGCTAATTTCGCTAGATATATCCAGGCCACCACATCTTACTCGGAAGCAATGTGCTTGTATAGCGCCTTCAGTTCATCGTCGCTCATTTCCTTGATGCCGAATAGCGCATTGTCGCTCTTTGCCCAAGGCTGGGCAAACTCCTTTTTGGCGCACGCATACAAGAGCTGTGGGTACATCACATCGGGCGTCATGATACCCTTCTTGATAGACTCCATACAGTTCGCGTAGATGGCGTCGACGTCAACGGTGGTCGTCTCCCACGAACCGCTCACGGCCTCTTGAGCGAGGGCACCCATTTGCTTCTGCGACTTGACGGCGGACTGAATGTACGCGACTCTGTTGGCCGTCTCCTCCGGGTGCAACAAGGTCCCCACGACAGCCTTGCCTACGTCGGCGAGCATCGTATAGGGAATGACGTTCTCGCCGTCGTTGAAGAGCGAGAGCTTCTTGTTCTTGACGTCGACGCCCATGAAGCTGGACCGGATGCCCCAGTCGAGGAACGGTCCGTTGGTGACGATGGTGTAGGTGAACTTGCCTTCGTTCTCCTGGGCCTTTTGCTGCATGTGGCCGTGCGTCAGGGCCTTGATGCCGAAGATGGGCAGGCTCGGCACGTGGGCGCGCGTGGGGTCCAGGCCGAAGTCGGGCGGGATGTAGCGGTAGACGCCCGCGGCGACGGCGGCGTCGACGACACGGGTCGCTACTTTGGGGTCGAAACTGTTTGTCGAGTTGATGAGGGCGTCTTGGCCCTTGAGGGCCTGGGTTAGGGAGTCGAGGGACTCGTAGTCTACCTCCTTGACTGTGACGCCCGCGGGGAAGTTTTGGGAGCCGGTTTTGCGGGTGAGGATTGTGATGGTGAATTTGTTGGAGTCCATGAGGGCCTTTAGGAGGGAAGGACCTAGGTTGCCTCCGGCCTGGTTTGTGTCAATGGCTGTTCTGTTTGGAAGATGAGGTGATACTTACGCCGGCGAGCGCGACGTTCTTGATTGTTGGTGCCATGATCTTGTACTTAGTAGTGATCTTGTGCTTCTTCTTGAATAGCAAAACCAGATCTCTCAATCAAAGTTCTAGCTGGCTGCAAGTTCCTTTTTATGAGCTCCTGTAGCTGAGCTATCTCCCATGAGAGCAAGGATGAAAGCTGCGTCGCATTACGTTCCGGACCGCAAGCTTCGAAAGCATACGCCGCTGTGACGCCATTCCGTTCCAGGCTCGTCTGAAGGTGAGCCGGTTGCCCTTCGTGTTCGAACCGCCCGCGGGAGAGTAGAGACCTTCGCTCTTTCGCGCTTTTGAGCTCTGACCCTTTTGTCTTCGTGGTTTGTGGCTGCACGTCCGGTTCAATGTTCTCGAATACGTGCTGCGGCGGATGTCCTTGCATTCCTGCACTACGCTTGTTTGCTGTCAGGCTGGTCTCCTGGAACCTAATTCATACGCGTGCAAGAAGATTATATTCTCTGAGGCTATGTCTACTCATAGTTATTGTCACCGGCTAGCTACATTGAGTGAGCGTGAATAGGCCGGCGGAGCGATCGGTCTTCATAGGTAAGACAGAAACCGCCTTTGCAAGTTTACACACGGCTCTCACATCTACCCACTGCTCAGATTCAAGAGATATGCTCTGTTGACTCTGCAGCTGTCTTTACATGCATGGCATTAGCCTTCGATAGATGAGATGAAGAGAGCCCGTGGCGGGTAAGCCGGATACGGATGCCTCGCTACCTATGTACAACAGTAACGGGACGGAGGCCCAGACGTACTTTAAACTCAATTTGAATAAAGAAACAAATGAGACATTCCCGAATCTAAAACCTGAAGCTGACAAAGAGCAACTAGCTCAGAGAAGTTTCTGAAGCGCGTGGACACGCCGACACGTTACGAATCCCCGGTTGCGGTCGGTACCGGAGTGGGGCCCCGGACGCCGGAAGTCCGTTGCCTGATCTTCAAGATGGTCGGGCGAGGTTGGGATACCCCTTCATATGATACTGGCCCCTTTCATGTTCTTAGCTTTCTTGTTCTTAGCTTTCTTGTTCTTAGCTTTCTTGTTCTTAGCTTTCTTGTTCTTAGCCTTCTTGTTCTTAGCTTTCTCGTTCTTTACTTTCTTATTTTTCTTATCTATATTTCTGCTATTGCTCCCATCTTTCATATACCCACCAGCGAATACTCTCTGAAAGCATAGAGTAAAGTGTAGTAGGAAAAGAGCTAGGGTTCATAGGGTAGCGAACGATTTTGTTACTCACTTGCCTGCTAACCCGCTTACTTTACTTATTGCTCTTATTCTCTTTACTGCGAGCAATACGGCTTGTGAGGGTGGAAGTATTGTCCGCAACATTTATGAGTATGAGTGGTTCTAGTGTCTCTTGTTCTTTTTGATTACCCGGTTCATAGCTTGGCCGGTCTCGCTGGCAGTGAGTTGGGCTTGAGGAATATTGGGGATCTTGCTGTCTGCAAGTTCTCATAAGAGACATTGTCTCCTTCGCAGACATTCTCAAGTTCATAAAAGGCATCGTAACACCCATACACGAAAAGGCACATGCATTGTCCAACTTACCCAGTCAGCCGGGATAGAAGTCATCGTCGAGTTATCACCCAAATCCCCTCAAACATGTGGTATACGCACAGTGCATGAGTTTCCCCTCTTTGCAACTACTGCAAAAAATAAAAAAAAGCAGTTCAACTGCAGCGCAAATGTGTTTGCGGAATCAAGCAAAACGTAAATGCGGCGACCGAGACTCGAACTCGATGCATAAGCAAACGCCAACGGAAGAAATGGGAAGCTTATATGTTACCCTTACACCACCGCCGCAATGGAAGAGGAGCGTTGTTTGGTCCTGCAGACCCGAGGCATAAGCACGCCTTATGTAGGAGGGTCCTGAGGGGTAGGTAGAGAGCTAGGCTGGATTGAGAGCGTCCCGTCCAACCAATTGCAAGGTAGGACCAAAAGGCTGAGAGTGAGCGGGTGTAGGAGGACGGGTCGCAGGTGCTGGCATTTCGTCGGGAACAGTAAGGTATTCACTCGGTTTCATCAAGTATCTAGGAGGGTAAATAATGAAAAAATATTCGCAACTCGAACAAGGCGAAGCAAATAAGAGAAAGGGGAAAGGAATAACTGTTGGAAAGGTGAAAAGTGAATCGTTCAGGAATGGGCGAGAAGAAAAAATATTTTGGCTGCTAGCTGCTAAAACAGAGTGGTGGTCAGTGCACCAGCAACCGCCACTCACTAACAGAAAACCAAAAGCCTAACTAACTCTCAGCACCATTCCCGTCCGCACTGCTGTTCAGAAAACCATCACCATGCTTGTCTCATCAGGTCTCCTCCGTGTCCCTGTTTGTCTCATCTCTTTGCGACCGCCGTCGTTGGAAAGCTGGAAAAGTAAGGTAGAGGGTGGAAAGCTCGTTGAGAAGGGATCCATCCAGCTGGTAGGCTGGGCCAAGCCCCTTGTAGTCCGAGTACTATCATCAATCTTTATCTCTGCACACAGCGGACCCTTTGACCTTGATCGTTCTATTCTTCCAAATTCTATTCTTCTCGATCTATAGAGTCTTCACAGCTGTGATTGCATCACACTAAGTTGAATTATGTGGCCTTGAAATTGCTCGACCTGTAAAAGTCTTTGTATCCGCCACCTTGATCCCACTCCGTTGTTATTATATCATACCACATCAAACCATGTGGCCGTGAACGGCCGCCGCTCTAAGAGGTTGCCGATCTGCGATGAACTCGCCCTCTTTGGACCAGGTTCGCTTTTCAGAGTATTCCAGACCGTAGAAGCGGGCGCCAGAGAGGATGGCTTCGGCTAAAGACGAGTACGGATCTTCCTGGCTTATGCCCTCATCATCCTTCCGTAGCGCGAGAGGGAGCTTTTCCCAATCGATCACGTACGGTTGTAGTGGTCCCTGAGGGGCCCCTTGACTCGAAGGTAGTTCAAAGACCAAAGCAAAATCTCGTTCGCCGACTGGGAACGGATCGCCGCAACTTGGATAGGTGCAACGCAAGAAGAACTGCCAAGGCTTATCAAGGGGGCTCCCCGGAACATTGGCAGGCGGTGGCATGGCAATAACAGTGGTAAATGTGCCTTTTTCATACTTCGAGGACATCATCGGAGGCAATGTTTCGACAATGTTTATCGGAGGGGCGCCGATGAAGGATCTCGTAGGGGGGTTCGTGATAGATATTTGCCAGGCGCCTGCGGCCAGTGATCGCTCCCATGAAGGCTCCCGCACGATGACCAGCTCCTCATACTTAGCCTTTCCCAGGCTATCAAGGCTAGTTTCGGAGAGCGCCACAGGCCCAGAGGGAGACCTGACATACTCGTCGCCCGAAGGAGAGTTGTTTGAAAACAGCGGAAGACAGATCCTGCGATCTTGATCGTCGAGAACATTCAACAGCGCGTAGTAGCAGTTGGGCGCGTTGTGCGATCCCCTCTCAAACTCAGACAGCAGGAGAAGAGCTAGATTGATTCGGAAGCCCCTGTTGGTCATCCGAAACTCCGAAGAGGACCGTTCTGTGATATTGTTAGCATACAATGAAGCGGCTCTTGTCATTGCAGCCGGTGATGTTGCAAAGAAATGTCCTCGAGTATGGAGAGAATTTGCGAGACCCCAAGAAGCCAGTAGGCTTTGGTCGGTTGTGTCCTTAATGATCTCTTGTTGCAGTCGGACGAAAGCCATGTCGCCCTCTCCGTAAAGAAGAGGCATATTGATGTCGAAGAGACCAAGGAGACAGTACGCCATATCTTCTTTGCGTGAAGTCTGTCTTTTACTTGCCCACGACATTCTCCGTGCCAGACAAACATCTTGGAGTGATTGTTTATGTGCTAAGATAGTCCGTGGTATGCCCGTAATTTCTGATATTTGATCTTGCAAGGAGTCTTTGTCTCCCACGAGTTTCCACTTCTGATTATAGAAGTACACGTGTCTTGGAGCCAAGAGCTCTTGCAGTGTCCAACCCCTGGTAAACCATCTGCACTGTGCGAAGCTTACGGAGGGTTTCCTGACATCTGATGGCTGGAAATCTGATAGAAACACAAAACAAATCCGCGCCTCTTGATACCATCGGAACATGGAGTTGATGGCTTCGGACAGTTCAGCACTGCTGCTCTTGTCTATACAGCATGTGTCGACCCAGACATATTGTAACAAATGTTCTTTTGTAAGGTGTGCGCTCTGGACAATCTTGTGGAATCCGGACCGTTGTCGTAAATCTTTGGCTTTTTTGGCCGAGTTCATCGTGGCCGACGCCATCAGGGCTTCGACAGAAGCAAAGGCTTCGATATTTTCCTCATATTCGTGGAGCCAGCAGAGATCTTGAAACGTGACTTCATCTTTTCCCCAAGTATGAGAGAGAATTGTATAATGAGGTATCTCGTCATCAAAGAATTCCTCCAACTGGAGAGTATTAACATTGATGAGCCTCATGATTTCTCCGTCCCAGAGAACCTAGAACCGTCCTGCTTCGCAAGTACGGGCCTAAAACAGATGGTGTTGACTATGACTTGTATAGTCAGTAATGCAGTACTCTGACCCGAGAAGATGTACGAATACACGGCAAAACGTTGAATTCTCACCTAGATCGATTCGGCGACGAACTCAGAAGGTAAGTCGACTTGAACACTTGGGGTGCCGTGACTCAAGTTGAGGGAAATAGTAAAGAGCAACCCAGGACTTCCTCTTCTTGGCTACCAATTAGCAAGACGGTCCCAACTGGGCCGCACCAACACGTGAGGGGGACGCATGATAAACGAGGCTGCCTTCCGCTAGCCAATGAATGGGGAGATTAAATCCATGTTCTAATGTATGCACGATATGTACCAATCGATTCCCTCTAGTGCTACCAAAAACTCCAGTAATGCTATAACTGACATGATACAAGGGATTACGCCATGAAACGCACGAGAGAGGAGGGATCTATGTCTGGGAAGTAATCAATGACCAAGGCGATGCCGGGCTGTTAACCGCGCCTTGTGTCGTCTAAACGACTTCTAGTCAAACAAAGTGTAATGGGAGTTGCCTGGCGCCTGTCTGTTGCTCTCATTGTACGACGGGGGCGGCTGGGTCTGCGGTTGAGACTGCGAGGGTGCAGCGGGGAGGGCAGGGCGGGCGGCAGCAGTCTGCTGAGTCCACTGCGCCGTCTTGACCACCATCTTGGCGAAGTACTGCTGAATAAACGACTCACTGTGATATGTTAGCTCAACTCCGGAGATCCTCGCGGCAAAAAATCACTAACGTATAGTAGCTGTGGTCTGAATTGTGAGGTTGGACCAGGTTGTGCGCAAGCTCGTGAGCCAACACCACCCACCACCACACAGCCGCCTCGGCCTTTGCTTCGCCACTTTGGGTCTTGAGGATCTTCTCCGCATGGAGCTGCAAGAAGAAGCGCAAATTGCAGAAGACACTGCCGTTGCTATTAAAAGCAATCGTTGAGCCTGACTCGTCGTAAAAGATGTGAAGAACGCGTGGTGAAAGAGAGTAAACGCCGCCGACCTCACTAAGAAGACCAGCAAACGCGTTGATGGGGCCGTGGTTCCTCGAGAGAAATTGAGCCGAATCAATGGACAGGCTCTTCGAGACAAAGACTTTCATACTGTTCGATGCCTCCGCCGCGAAAACGATATTCTGCGCGGGCGTGCTGTCACAGTAAGTGGCCTGTTCCTTCACCTCGTTGACGCTCGGTGGCGAGAACACGCTGTTGGAGTCATGAGCCCTGGTAGAGTTGATGGCGTTGAGCAAGTTCTGTCCCACGGTCGCTGGATTGGTCACACGGCCATCATCGGGTTTCTTCTCTGTGCCGCTGCTAGGTTGGTTCGTGATGCTTTGTGACTGCGGCCGACTCTCAGGAGGATTGTCCATGAACTTTTGAAGCTGGTCCTGCGCTTCATCGTTCTCGTTAGCATCGAAGCCAAATCGACGAGTCAGGTTCGAGAAGAGCCCCTTGCTCTTCCGCGACTGCTGTGGAGGGGGCGATCGATGAGCCTCTTCGGGACTGTCGTTCCCGAAAGAGCCGGGCATGACCGGATCTGGTGTCTTTGCGGTTTGTCGAGCAGCCTCAGCAGCCTTTGCTTGCTGGCTCCATTCTTTCTCCTTCTCTTGTATCCGCTTCTGTTCAGCCTCCAGTGCCTTACGACGCTCCTCCTCGGCAACTCTTGCCTCGGCCTGCTTGGCACGAAGGATTCGATCGACATTGTACCCTCTGGCTCTCAAGGCGTAGAGGTCGAGGTTAAGGAAAGGCTCGAAAAATAGATAGGCCTGCTGGTTGGGCCGTGATAGGAGAAGCTGGCAGATAGCCTGGCCAACCTGATACATATCAGGCTTCTCCTCAGCTGCGACGTAGAGGATCCAACTTGAGCCCGACTGGGCGCTGGCGGCGGATCTCTTTTCCGTGTGAGATTGGCTGTGGCCCCTCAGTGAACGACGAAGTGCGACCGAGCGAACGAGTTCAACACGCAGGCTCTTCTCCAACCACTTGGCATCATGTTTGATGTAGTCCCGTCGGTAGTTTGCATACTCGTGAAGGAAGATTTTGGACCGCTCCAGGACATGTTTCCGCAGAGCAGCTGCTCGGTCCTGCTTATCCGCGTGAGGGCCAATTCTTACTTCCTCTTCCACGAGCGAGCTCAACGTCTGAGCGCCAAGCTGATGGTAGAATTCCTCGAGTACTTCCTCTTCGGGCGCAGTGATCAAGTAGTCCTTGAACAAGCGGTAGCTGATGATGTCGTCCAAGATGACGATTCGATTCGCAGTAGCCAGCTGGTACTGCTTGATAGGGGCATCGTCGTCGTCCACTTCAATGAGCTTTTCCTTGGATGGCGGCGATGGTATTTCCTTAGCTGCGAGTAAGAAGGGAGAACTTTTCATCTTGCGAATAAGCTCTTTGTCTTTCTTCAACGTCGGCATGTTCTCTGCTAAAGACTTCAGAAGAGCGAGGTACTTATCCGGGCTCTGAAGAATGCTGAGAAGTCGTGCAGGTTCGGTGCAAGCTAAATTTGCTATCTCTGGCTTGCTTGGCTCCTCCTTGGCTCCACACTTGTAGAGGAACGTGTTCGCATTCGTCCCGAAGTCGACAAAATCGAAGATGTTACCGTATGTCGCCGAAGTGCCCAGGTAGCATCGCTTGGGACTGAGGTGGGTGACATAAGAGCCACTCTTCTCGCCTGAATCGCGAGCCTGTCGTGTAACGGGAACAATGGGTGCATCACGCAACTTGGATAAGCTGCCCTCTCCAAGATCGCTGTTACGAAGGGCGAAGTACTCAAAGAGAGTGATGGCCATTTGTTGATCCTGAGGTGGCTTGGCTAGCAGACGAGACACACACTCCGTAATGGGCGGGTCCCTAACCACCCCAAACTTGTTGGCATGCACGTGAAGATCTTTCTTCAAGATGTCGAAACCCAGGATTGCGGCACGCTCGTTGGTGAAGCAAGCTGAAGGCGTGACCAGCTTGCTGCCCTTCTGAATGGGTAGGAAAGCCTTGCGACTATCGGCGAGATTGAAGGCTCCGTAACCGTTGAGGTGATGATTTGCAATGAAATAGGTCATAGCGGACGTTCTGAGCTCAGCATCCGTAGAAGCCATCATGTTGACCATTTCAATCACAGAAGGGTATGGTCGCAGGCCTAGGATGGCCAGGAATCGGCCCTCGGGGCTGTTGGCTCTATAGCTTCCGGGCGGACCAGGCCATTGTAATACAGGCAGCCGAAGAGTTCTAAGCGTATCCTTTGGCTCGAAAAGCTCCGAGACCTTGTACAGCTCAGTTGTGCCTTTGGTCGGCTCCATGCCTTTCGCTCCATCTTCTGCCGGACAGAAACGAGTATCCTTAAGCTTCGTCATGTCGGCGGCGGGGATGTCATCCTTGACTGAGGCGAGATACTTGATGAGCTCCATGTGACTCCACCTCTGCGCACCCTCAGCCGAGGGGCTCAGTAATCTTGAAAAGATGGTGTCAAGGTCGACCGTCTTGCGCACTCCAATTGCCGAAAGAAACTTGTCTTTCAGGCCTTGACAGCCTTGGATGATGGGCAGATCATCAAAAAGCTTGACGGTGGGGAAGAACGAGTCGGTTGGCTTCTTCATGCCCGTCTTTGTCGGCATAACAGTATGAGCCTGAAGCAGAGTGATGATCACTGACTTGGAACTTTGGCTGATGTTGTCCCAGTTCTTGGAGAGTACCGTAAGAACCTGAACGGCAAACTTTGGAGATTTTTTCAGATTTTGCTCGTCAGACCTGCTTGATCCCAACTCCAGCAGGAAACGCAGCCATGGCACGACCTCCAGGGGCTCCCAACCAAGCGCTTGCAGCTCAGCAGCAGAACAATGGTTGGTGTAGGCCATAGGTATAGTGCGCGGGGGAATTGGAAGATTCGCTGGAATCTTGTTCGGCAACTGATAGTTGGTAATGGAACCAAGAGCAATGATATCGCCTTGGTCGCTGCCATCTTCAGTGACGGTGGCAACCGCTACATCCAGAAGGCGAGCTTTACTGGGAGGATCCAGTTCTCCGCTAAGTGCCTTTTTGCCGGCCCAGGCAATGAAATTGATGAGCTGCTCCTTGTTCATTGCCTTGGTTTCCAGCTCTGTCCGTACGTCATCAACAGTGATTGGGCTGATGAGTCCAAAGTCCATCAGTTTCCTAACGAAAGCATTCTCCATGAGCTCTCGAGGTACGACAGGGATTGTATCGACGAACTTGCTGAGCTCGTCAGAGCCAAGTCGGACCTTCGTGCTGGACAAGACACCTCTGGAGGAAAAGATCTCAATGGAAGCCTTCTTGAAGGCTGTCCAGAACGCTTCCTCGAGAATCTGGGACACTTGACCGCTTGGTGTAGAATCAGCGAAAGTGAATGTCTTCAGGATGTGCAGTGCTTCAGGCAAAAGCTTGGCAAGATCTTCTGCGCCAATCTTTGTCGCAGCTCCAACCATATTCTTGACTTTGGAGTCGAGGTCGCTCATCTCGTTAATGAAAGCAAGTCTTGTCATGATACCGGCCGCCCGGAGCATCTCGATGTTCCACGTCCTGACCCATCGTGCATTGAGGTCAATAGCCTCACGCTCAACCGTAGGAATGACTGATTGCGCCGAGATATGCATGCCGGCACCGGTTGTCTGCGTTGTGGGAAACCCGATAAAGATGCGGCCACCGGGCTTCTTGCTGGGCAAAACTGAAGCGAACACGTCCACAGACTTTGAGATGGTGGCGGAGCGTGAACTCTCTGAAGCCATGGTCTCATCATAGGACGAGGTGAGAATGGCTAGCTTCGTGGTCTTTGGTGGTGGTTTCTTTGTCGCGCGCTCCAATTCCGTGGCGAACGAGGTTGATACGCTGGTCTTGACCCAGGCGGTTGTCACTCGCAAGAAGATGGTCGAAGTAGAGAGCTTGGTCACGTCCTCACTAATCTCCTCCTGAGCAGCTGCTTCTTCTCTCT